TGGATTGAGACCCCCAAATTGCTGAGCACAGGAAAACCTTTCATCTTCATTTGCTGATGCTCTCAAGTATTTGTTTTTTGGGTTTTTTTGGTATCGGGGATTGAACTCAGATCCTTGTGCTTGCGCAGCAGGCGGCAAAACCACTGAGCTAAATCCCCGGCCCGGATTTCATATATTTTAAGGCTGAAAATAATATATATATATTTTTTGTATCGGGGATTGAACTCAGATCCTTGTGCTTGCACAGCAGGTGGCAAAACCACTGAGCTAAATCCCCGGCCCGGATTTCATATATTTTAAGGCTGAAAATAATTCATGGTATGTATATGCCACATTCTATTTATCATGCATGCATCTGTGGACATTTGGATTGTAAAAACATAATTTTTTCTGTCCTAGGGTTAAACCCAGTACCTCACACATTTAGGCAAACCCTCTACCACTTAGTGAGATCCTCTCCGCCTCATAAAAACATATCTTTAATATGACAAAACATGTCAAAAAAAGTTTAAATGATTGATACATCTACTTTTAGTATCATAAATATTTAGGAGCCAAGACAGACCCTTCTGTTTCACAACAACTAGACTCCAAATATAAAGCTCTTTGTGGCTCTGTTTAAACCTATAGATACCTTCCCTACCCCACCCCTCACACCACTGAATAAAAATGAGTAAGCGGACAAGAGCTTTGTCGAGGGCACAGGGACTGGTGAGAGCAGTACTTGGGGCTTCTTGGCTGGAACACCAGGGGCCTAGGCAGAAGTCGCTGAAGCCTCTGGGGCTCAGGAAACCTGGGAGCCCAGGCCTGAGAGAGAGGCCCCAACACTAGAGCATCAGCAATTCCTGGGGACCTTGAGCCAGTGGGTATGTGACCTCACTCATACAGATGGCCAAATCCAGAGGAAGGTGAGCAGTAGCAGGTGGGCTAGAGGGATGCTAGGGGCAGGGATGAAGTAAGCAGGAAGGAAGAAGACTCAACCAGCCAGGTCTTAACCCCCTCCCCCCACTGATTTGTTGAGACAGGCCCTGCTCCAGCTGGCTGTGTCTACCTCTTCTCTCCCACCAGTTTCCTCCTGCTTGCTTTGCGCTAAGAATTGGAGAACTTTCCATGCAAGGCAAATCCATCAAAAAGCTTGCACCAGGGACTTGATCATACTTTAACGTGGCTTCTGGCAGCAAAGGGCTGCGTCCCTTGGACAACCTCAGCCCCCCTTAATGTGCCAGCTGAGAAAGCTCAACACTGCCAGGAAGGCTTGCTGTTTCTTCCAGCCAACACACAAACAATGGTTAGCCCTGACCTCCTTTTCTAAAAGCAATTACTGAAAAGGACTCACAACTATGAATATGCTTCTGTTGTGACTAAGAAGTATCTCTTTCAAGGACCTGAGAGCCATTCCTTTGAAATAGAATCATGAGGAAGGATAAGGTGTCAGCTCCCAGTCACTGAGGAAAGGAGCCTAAAGTGGTAATGGCCAGTCAGCAGTCACAGCTGGTTCACAGTCACACCAACCAACCTTTAGCACTTTTGCACTTTTCTGATTCTACTGAGTTCCAGCACTCCTCCTCCCTTAGTCTCCTTTTAAAAACACCCAAGCTACCTCTGCACAAATCAGAATGGAGCTCTGCTTTTTTCTCTATGGTCAGTACTTATTGAATAAAATCTGTTTTCCAAGCTCCAACTAATATTTGACTATATTTATCTCTGACACCTTCCATTATCCCAGCTTTCTTCTTGCAGCCTACACAAGCCTGGCTCTATCCAGGCTCAGGCCCTTTTTTTGCACATTATTGTTCACTTCCTAGTATATTTACCCTTCATTCTTTGCAGAGCCCAACCCAAGGCTCATCCCTCAGATCTCAGTGTTACTGCTTCCTTCTAAAGAGATTGTCACTAACCACACAGGCCAAAGCAGATTTCTCAGTGAGCCTGTCAGAACACTCGACTCTTTCCCTTCATTGTGTGGTCCCACATTGTGAAACTATTTACTCATTGTGTGCTTTTCTTCCCTTTTCTAACTAGGTCATGAGTTTGTGCAGGGTAAGGCCCATTGTGTGTTTAATTCACCACTTCAGCCCCAGGACCTAGCATAGTGTCAGATGCACAGGAACAATACTGAAAGTGTGAAGAATATTTTTGTAGACCTAGCAACAAAGGGATCAGCCAACATCTGCAATCATGACACCATTCTTCCTCTACTTATCATTCATCTTCTTCCCAATGATGCATCAAGAAGCCCTAGCAGAGGGCCGGGGATCTAGCTCAGTGGTTCTGCTGCCTGCCTTGCAAGGGCAAGGTTCCAAGTTCGATCCCTAGTACCAAAAAAAATAAAAAACAAACAAACAAACAAAAGAACCCCCAGCAGGCTAGGGTTATAGCTCAAGCAGTAGAGCACTTGCCTGGCATGTGTGAGGGCTGGGTTCAATCCCCAGCACAGTCCACCCCCAAAGCCATCAAGTAAGGCTATATAGATGTTCTTTGTTTAACAACCAAGTTACTTTCCTGTCACTTGGTCATTAAATAAATAGGTCACTAAATGAGGAATTGTATATATGTACATTACTATATTCAGAACAAAGAAATGCTTGAAACTCCAAATTGATGATTTTGCTTTTATTTGCATAACTCTTACATGCAATACTGTAATATATAACAGAATATAAAACTACAGTACTGTACTATACAGTACAATCAGGAAAAATTACAGTATTGTATTGTAAAAGAAGCCACCTTAAGGCCACACTGCTGCTCACATTCCTGCATCCTAAGTCTGAATGAGGGTCCAAGTGCCAGGTCATAAGTTCAAACAGTCATTAAAACAGATAGATCTTTAAATGAGGAACATCTGTATAATGATTTTGATAACAGGCTAATAGACATTCTTGTTTTTTCTCTGAGTTCATAGAACTTAGAGCCTTAAAATAGTCACCCATCAGAGTATAATGGCTTTTGCTTTATACACACCTTAAAATGACCTCTCAGATTTCCATTTTCAAAGTAACTTTGATAGCAGTGGAGGTTGACTGCCCCCTGCATCAGCCTCTCACCTGTGAGTAAAGAACTGTCTCAAAATGATCAAAGAAGGAGAAAGTGTGGATTTCCTTCTATTCCCTGAAAGCTGCTGTGACTTACCACAATGCTCTTGATGCAATCCAGGTGGGAGTTTTTCTTCACACAAATGATGCGGGGACCATCTGCTGGAAGGACTTTCTTCATATTGTCACGGAAACTGGCACATTTGCTGGCCTCATGATCTAACACAGCACACCACCTCACAGTTTTCTCAGGAACAGCCAGACATAGCCCTAGAGGAGAGAGCCAGAGGTGTAAATGACATATTCCCTGTGCCAGTGGAGAAATAGTACCACCCTCTGAAGGTCCTCGATGGCCAAATGCCCTCTGTCCTGTCCTCTTCTAATTCCATTCCACGAGCACCACAGGACACAGCCCCACTGCATCCCGATCCATATTCCCCTTGCCTCCTTCCCACACTGTCCTGACCTCAGTGTGCTCAACAGCATTTTCAGACACCTCAATACAGTTGTTCAGCAACTATGGAAGCTAGCAGGTAAGAATTACCATCTTTCAGAGATGAGGGAGCTGGACGCACAGAATGATGCAGTTTTGCCCAAGGTCATCCTGCTTGTTAGCAGCCAAGCCAGGCTTGAAACGCATGTCTCCAGCATCTTAGTCTCCCACCCAGGGCACAAAGGAAGGTAACATTCTTAGTTACTTTGCTCTTTCTTGGCCAGTAATTGCAAGTAAATAAGTGAAAAGATCATGAATTCGCCTGTGACACTTGCCTCCCATCCTCTCATTAGAAATAACTGGAAACTCCATCTATCCAACAGTCTTCCCTCTATCTCCACGCCACTCCCTTTGGCTGCCATTGAGAGAGAAAGCTAAAGCCAGCCATACGTCTATTAAAACCCCTGTGGTTGAAAGGTATGAGCTTTGGCACCAGAAGATTCACAAAGCACAAAGAAAGAGTCAAAGCCAGCTGTTCTTCAAGATAGATAAAAGAGGATCATGGGGCACTGACTACCCCCTACTTTATATTCTACCTCGGCCCCATGGGAAATCACAGGAGGCATCAAAATCCGTGGCAGACCCTTTCAAAACCACCCCTTCAATCTTCCTCCGAATCAGTCCTCCCAATTTTTACAGGCAAATATGTGTCCTTAGTCATGTGTCACCTTGCACAGCCCCATGAGGCACCCTGAAATTAGTCATTTGGGGCCCTCTTTCAAAGGGTTCATAGTTTTCAGGGAAAGAAAATAACTGAATATGGAAGGCTCCAAGGCAGGCATCTGGAGTGCAAAGATGCCCCAGCAACGTGGAGTGAGGCAGACCATCAGTCACCAACCCCACAGCAGGCCACCAACACATGGCAGCCTCCACTGGGCCTGGCATCGGTGACCTTGCTGACCCTCCCAACCTCCCCAACAGGTGCTGGTATTACCACTGTCACAGGTGAGGAGCCTGGCCAGCATTTGGACCCCCAAATTCTGGCTTTGAATGCCATCCTCTGAACCACGCCATGGCCCTGCCCCCTTAGTAGGATTTCAAGGGTACCATTGGGACGTCTGACTATTAACGGTACAGGGTCAGATCCAGGTCAGTCCAATGAGTGTGGACTGAAGAGGCAGCAGTGAAGGGTTTGGGTAAACTGTGGTTAGAAGTGCTCTGAGTTATTGCTCCATTGCTGCGAAAGTCACTGGACAGAGAGGAGGAGCGGCACACAAGAAGTACAGGAAAAGGTGCCCAGAGGCTCAAGCAGGGGCCTCAGAGGCTCAGAGCAGAGCCACTTCTGGGACAGGGGCAAGCAAAGGAAACGCACTGGCGCTTCCGGCCTCCAGGATAGAGAGGGTGCCCTGCCAGCTGCCTGAGTCTTCCTCCAAGCCCACACTCACCCAAGGCGGCGCAGGCCAGTAAAGTGCTCAAGGCGATCCTCATTCTGCGTCCCTGTGCGGCGAGGAGCGGCGAGCAGAGGTCGACCCGCTTCTGCGCAGCGGGCCAGCGCCGAGCGCCTATATCCCCGGCCCAGGCCAGCCCGGGGCGCAATCTTTGACCTCCTTTATTTGGGCAGCTGTTGCATAATCGCCCCTCATCCATCCCCCTTCCCTTTTCGCCCTGATGGTCGCCTCGTTTCCTGAGCTGTGGGACAACAAATGGAATCCAGCACAAAAATGCTGGCTGGAAGGGAATGAAAACAAAATCCATTCTTTGTTCTCGCTGCTTGCTCTGTGCCAGGAGCGTGGCTATACCAGACCGGGGCGGGATTGGCTCTGCTCCGGACCCAGAGCTGCCTGAGCTGGCTTTGGCCTCCAGCCCCATCAGCTCGATGCGAGAGGGGGACTCTAACCGAGAGAGAGAAGGGAACCGCCTTAGTCCCCAGAGTGGAGCCTGGGAATGGCAGGCAAAGCCCGACCACCTCGGGGAATCTGTAGGAGAAGAAAGTTGGGCTCAAGGTCAAAGAAGGAGGACTCAGTAAACTTTGCTCCTGCCCAGGTGTTCCTGGAAACTCTGCTCCTGGAGCCTCAAAGGATGACTTCTGGGGAGCAGTTCTCTATCAGCCCCTGGTCTCTGGCTCTTGGGCTGGAAACTTTCCTGTGGGAAGATACCCTGGGCTAGGGATGTTCACAGGGGACTCAGAACAAAGTTTCACAGTAGTACAAAGAACAGCCTAGGGAGGATGTGGCCTATTCGCAAAGCTTCAGAGCCACTCTCTCCCCCTCTAGCCAAGTAGTCTTCAAACTGCTTCGATTCATATCCTTATCATAAAAAATACTGTTTGTGTCTTCTACATGTGTATTTTAACTAAAAGCTGTGTTTATTTCAATCATGAACAAGGCATAGAAATTTATAAAAGGATGAGATAAAGATGAACCACATTCATTTTTAAATGTCTTTCTGTTCATTCTGCCTTATGTACAATAAATAAATCTCCAGGCACAATCTATACTCAGGGAAAGGTCAGGATTCTTCAAGCAAGCTGTAAATCCAGATTTCAGAGAGTTATCAAGATAATGTTAGGGTTTTCAAAAATTACTTCTTACCCAGTCTAATCAGATGGGCACTGATTCTGGCTCATATTTTAGCTGACAAAAAGCTTATACTAGGCCTGGTCAACATGCTAATTGAGCTGCTTTGCTTTTGTTTTCTAGTGTTTATATTATCAGAATTGTCTCCTCATTGCAGTTTCTTTGCAGGAATACTATAAATACTACATTTAAGGCACTTGAGTGTCCTGTGAGAGTTCGAGAGGTAAAGCCAGATTTTCTAATCTGTATACCCACTTAACTAGGCACATGCAACCCAAAAATGTGGAAAGAAAAAACCACCAAAAACAAAAGACAAGGTCAGGGGGCCAGGGATTTAGCTCAATGGTTCCAGTGCCTGCCTCGAAAGTGCAAGGTCCTGAGTTCAATCCCTGGTACCAAAAAACAAACAAAAAACAAAAAAAGACAAGATCAGGGTGCCACAACCATCCAGCACTCCCTTTCTGACCCATTTCACTGTGAGCTGATCCCCAGCTTCCCTCAGGATGCCTCAAAGGCATGCTTCATTGACTGCTATCTCTGGTCTTTACCTACAGACCCAGTGGGGAGACAGGGCCAATCAACTCACACTTCAAGTATGAGAGAATGATGATTTGTTATTAATCTTTTATAATAACAATAGATATAATGGGAAGGTAGGTTATATCCTCTCACATCCCAATAGATTGTCTCCTATACAAAGAAGTTACACCCCCTTTAGACCCCACTTTAGCAAGGAATTTAGCAGGGACAAAGGAAATGCCTGCTTCACTAACAAGGACAATGCCACTGCTGCCTGTTTTACTGCCTCCTGCCCCTCTCATGGATCCTTGTGCTTGAACCATGGAAAAACAAGATTCTTGGTAGGAAGGGCGTATCTGTTCTACCACCTTGCAACAGGCACTGGGGACTAATTTGGGTTCATGTGGAGACCTTGAGGTTAAGACATGAAAAGATGGAGGGTGTCCCACAGGCAGGGCTCCACAGGTAGGGTACTTAGCAGAGCAGTGCACACATTCAGCTGATGCCTTGGTTAAACCTTGCAATGAGCTCACCTAGTCTACAAGAAAGCAGAAAAAGAAGTTGTCAAATGTCAAGCTTATGCTACAAACCCTGGGAAATGCCCACTGTAGGGCATGGAAGGGAGATAGACAATGAACTTCCCTCCCCAGACTTCTCCTATGCTCACAGAGTGAACCTCCCCATGCCTACACCTCCAGCCACATGTCCACAGCCTAGCCAGGGCTCTTCAGCAGACAGTAACCTATGTACCCTCGCTATGGCAGCCAGCCCCAGGCCCTGCCCTTGTTGGGATATGTCCAAGCCCAGAACAGATGCTAAGAAGGAGGTGCACAGACTCATGGAATATGCAGAAAGCACCTGTGAGACATGGAAAGCAGAAGCTGCCACATCATTCTTCAGAGAGATAAACACCCTTGTTACATGGCATGCCTGTGTCTGTATATGTCTATTGGAGTGTGTGGAGGGTAAGAAGTTAACACCACAGTACTCCATGTCCTTGAAGGCCCATGGCACTTGGACCTGTGCTCTTACTTATGTGTTTAATTCTACACCAGAAACCTTCTGGAGTCTGGACACTCATTGTCCCTCTTGTACAACTTAATGATGGCTGAGACTTGCTCTTTACTAAATGCTTCCTGCAGACCTCTGACACTTGCAAGAATCCCCATCTTGCAGATAAAGAAACTGAGGACCAGAAAGGATAATACCTCATCAAAGGTCAGCTTCAAACCTGACCTGAATGCAAAAGCAGGCAATTTGGTTCTAGGCTTTACCTGTCTACCAGGGACACTGCTTTTCCCAGGAACCAAGAGGTTCATACAAGGTCACACAGAGGACAACAGACATGGACTCAGCCCTGCCACTTCTTCACAGGCACATGGCCCCAGGCTGTGCAAGCAATGGGGCTTGTCTGTCAGGACCTCACTCAGCTGGAAGGAAGTTATTTTTTATCCCCTTGCAAGTGCCAGGCATTGTTCTTGGGCAAGATCATGTGATCTTGACCAAAATCCCTACATGATAAAATCAATAGTCTTGTTTTTCACTTGTGAACATGATAGAAAAGTGATGGTTCCTTCTTCAGTGAGCTTTGGAACTAGAAGTCAAATCTCCTAATCCTGGCCTTCTCCAGACTACAGCAGCCTTCTTGATACTAATCTTCTCTTTATTTACAGACAACCAGAGGAGAAGGAGAGGGGGTACGGCATATGAGAAAGAGAAAATGGTTGAGAGAGGAGTTAAGGAGGCTTCCAGTTCCGGACCAACCCCACATGATCCAAATTTTCCACCACAAACAGACTAGACCCTTAGATTTGACTACAGAGTTGATCCTCTTATAGAAAAAAAGATAAACTTGTGTGTACGTGCAGAGGGAGGTTGGGGAAGCTGCCCAGAAGTGGGTGGGCAGGAAGGCAGTGCGCCTCTGAGCCAATATTTGCTGTTTCCAAATGTTTCCCAATGTATACAAAAGCAGAGCAAACAAAGAACCTCTGTCTACTTCAAACAATCTCCTCATATCCCTCCCCTACAGTGTCCTCTGTCTAACACCAGACCCTTGTCTGAAATCCTGGGCCTGGGTCATCATTGGGAGGGAGCGACCCATCATTGACCCATCATTGGGTCATTTGGCAATCTGAGAACCTATAAGGACGGTCACCCTGCAGGCCTGCTGGGGATGGCGGTGGTGGAGTACTGTATGTCCGGTAGGTGGGAAGTGGGGCAGCACCGCTTAGCATGATGTCAGGCATTTTGAAATGGCCTATGACACCACCCCCACCCCCAGAAGTCCTTGGACAATGGAAGATTCTCAAAGCTCCCATTCTTTCCACACCAGAGTCCAAAAAAATATGCTTCGTATATAGAATAATAGTCCATGGCCCAGTGGAATGAATTCTACCAAACATTTGAGAACTACACCAATTTTGCACATACTCTTTCAGGGAACAGAAAAGTAGGAAGAACTCTTGATTAATGTTTTGAGAACATTATATATCTGGAAAGGAAAAATCAACAAAGAGATCGTGACCAACATAAAAAATATCTTTTATTAGCACAGATACAAAAAATTTATGCAAAAAAATTAGCAAATGGACTCTAACAAAACCTCATGATTACCTAATTGGGTTTATTCCAGGAATGCAAATTATCTTTTGAGGTATCTATCAGAGTAATTAATTGCATTATTAGAGAATAGGAATATCATTTGATAAAATTCAACATCCATTCATAAAAAAGTCTCTTAGCAAACCTGCTCCTTAAGTACATAGAGTATTTGTACATAATAAAAACCTACAGAAATTATACTTAGTGGTGAAATGTGGAGTGAAGGCTTTCTCTTAGAATTCGAGAATAGTATTAGTTAACATTATGGCTGGAGGTCCTCTCCAATCCAATCAGGCAGGGAAAACAAGTTGTAAGTAAAAGAATTTAAAAGGAATAAATAAAACTCTCACTTTTACAGATGATAAAATTACATATGTATACAACCTAAAGCAATGATTTTACATATTAGGATAAATGAGTTAAGAAATAGAGTTGGATGTTGCCTGGTGTGGTGCTACCTGTAATCCCAGCACTCTAGGACACTGAAGCAGTAGGATCGTAAGTTTGAGCCCAGCCTGGGCAACTTATCGACTTAGTGAGATCTTGTCTCAAAATAAAATATAAAAAAGAACTGGGAATGTCACTCATTGCAAAGGCCTTAAGTTCAATCCCCAGTGACACAAAAAAGAAAAGAAATAGAGTTGGATACAAGGCAAATATACAATAATCAATTATATTTGTATATACAAAATGAAAATAAAAATCATGAAAATTGTTATTTATCTAAAGTACTATGAGAAAAACAAATATCTAGGAATAAATCTAGCAAAATACATCTAAAACTTTTATGCATCAAACTGCAAAGTGTTATTGAAAAAAAAAGAAACCCAAGTACATGGAAAACTACAGTATACCCTAAACATTGAGTAAAAGAGGCAACATTTATAAAGATCTCTATTTTCCCTAAATTGATTTATAGTTTCAATGTATTCCTAAATCCCCAA